CGTAAGAGCGAACAATGCGTGAATATGTCCTGGAAATCCAGTGTTCATAGGTAGGGGAAGGAAAGTAAACAGCCTTCCAGAAATCTCCGGGAGGTCTGCGATGCTCAGAGGGGCCGCGGCGGAGACATCGGGAAAGAGCTTGTTGTCGGTTAGCGTAAAACTGGGGTCAAACCCTGTCCTCTGTGCCAAAAGTGAAGTAGCATCCTCCTGGGAAAACGGACACCGCAAAAGACGCCAGGCCTTGATATTGTCGCCCTTCTGTGTAGTGGTGGCGATGGACGCAGTGTGCGTCTTGAATCCTTGAGGGAAAACTTCAGGTGGAGACCGTGTGATCGAAGAAACGCCAATCTGTGTTCTCTTCCCCCCCTCGTTGATCTCATAGAGCTCGATGGTCTTGACGTTTTCCAAAAACAGGAGAGCAATATTCATTTCATCCTTGATGAAGTCAAGTAAGAGTTGGGATATTTCGTGGCTCTCCACGACCTTGTGGCTGATACCGCTCTCCCTATTGCGTAAGGGAAGGCGGACGATGGAGCCCGTGAACTCCTTTCCTTGCCAATCGCTCGGTAAAAGTAATTCAAAGGTCGTTAAATGACCCTGGTATGTTGAGGTGTTCTCAGAAAAATCGATCTTGACGCCCCCTTCACGATCAAAGCTGCGTTGGGGATCTAAAATGGCGAGGAAGGACCCAGACATGATTTGAGGATAGTCCGTGATCTGCAGTCAACGTAAGCAGCTGCAATGAACGCGAATTTGGAAAAGCGGACGTGGTAAACGGAACGGAAGCCAATCCCATACTTTCCAATCTTACTATACAGACATCCTAATCAGCGTATCTTGCGCATCAGACGTGAACGGGATCCTACGATGTATCCATTTTCTTCGATGATCTATGGATGTTCTGCAATGCTGCCCAATCATCCTCCTGAAACACCGCGTCATTGAAGGCGAGCAATGCTGGTCCTTGCGTCGGTTTTAGTCTGGAGTGGAAAACGTGGTCCGTCGCGTGTGTACGATGATCTAAGACGAATACCTTGATTACATCCGTCAATGAGAGCGTAACGAAGACATTCGTGGATCACACCTGTTTTGATGCACGAGCATCATCTGAATTCTGCAACAACTCTCTCAGAAGCCCAACTGAGAATGGGTAGCTACCAAGGATGGCTTGTATCGCGGCGCATGGGTCGACGTTCTCTCCAAAGCTCGACGACATGCTGAAGGTGCAGGTTAGGTTGAATGTTAGACAACCAAAGGCATCACGTACTTATAAGAAGTTCTTCTCCCGCTCAATTCGCCAGCGCCTAAATACAAGGACGCAATGTCCACGGATATTGTTCCAAGAATAGTGGTCTCCTAGTACTTCCTAGATCAGCATAGCGATAAGCGATGTATGTGTGACGGAAAGGACTGAAAGGAATCAAAGCATACCTGCAGGCTCAAAAACTCTCCCTTTCTGATTGAGCTGACGCCAGAAAGAGACGCCCACTGCTCAAGATGGCGACCACAATGGTTCAACCGCACTTCTACAAGATTCCGGCGAGTTAAGACTTC